CCGCTGGGCATGAGCCTATGGTCCCAGGGTCCTGAGAGAGGATGGAAGGGAGAGAGGACTGCTGCGTGGCCATTCCCCCTGAGGAGCGCCTTCACTCTTTATTTCCCTGTCTCTCTCTCTGGCGAGTACACTCACCCTTTAGTGAATTAAAAACAAAAAACTACAGGAGTGATGAATGTGGCCCTGTCCCAGCTCCTTACTTGGCAAATCCCTTGAAGGCATATCCATTTTCTTTAAAGAAATTTTTGCTATAGGGCACGAGCGCTCACCAGAAAGAACGAGACACAGAAAGTGAAAAATCAGCCTCCCAGGGATGGCCACGCCATGGTGTAATCCCTTCTCCTCCATTCTCCTCTCGGGATTTGGGGCACACATGTACAAACGCATAGTGTAAGTTTTAAGCCACCTGGTCCAGGACTTGAACTACTGTTGACTACATGGGAGTCCAGTGACATAACCATTATGCCATCTGCTGGTCCTGGCAGATCTATTTCCTAAAAGTATCCAAACGCTTGTGGCCATTGCAGGCCAGTTCCGTGCCAGGCTTGAGCCAGGTGCTTCCACCTGTGCCTTCCTCTGAGCACCGTCCCCACTCTGCCCTCCCTCCTGCTCACCCTGATGCCAGAATTTTCCCAGATGGTTTGCTGGTGGCCTCCTCAACTTCCACGGTTTCCACCTGTGTGTTGATGTCTCTCGATCTCCGGCCCAGCTGCCGTTACCCACCACAGTGTGGGACTGGGTGCCGAGCATTCCCAGGCCCTTCCTCGTTCAGTCCTCATAGCAGCTGTGTAAGGACCACACTGAAGGATCCAAGGCTCTGGGAATTTCAATGATGAATCTAATGAGTCTAAAAATCATTCCTCTAAGTAGCAGGGCCAAGATTCAAACTCAGATGGGAACCAGCAGTTAGCGTAATGGCTATGTCGCTGGACTCCCACATAGTTGACCGCGGGTGGCTTAAAACTCACGCTGGGCGCGTGTGCGTGTGTGCCCAAGATCCTGAGAGGAGAATGGAGGAGAAGGGATTGCGGCGTGATCCCTGGGGGGCGATTTCTAGCTTTCTGTCTCTATGTCTCTGGCTGGCTGGCGAGCGCATGCGCCCTATAGCAAAAACCTCTCAAAAAAAAGATTCAAACTTAGATGTCCCAGATCTCAAGCCTACCCTACATACGACCACTAGACCAGACCATGTGGAGGTCCTGAGCACCCCAAGCCCACAAAGCACATGCCAGACACAAGGGGTGCCTGACCGTTGAAAGGGAGGTAGAAAGAGTGGCCCTTTCCCCTTCATAATCTGTCATGTTACTCTACTCCTCTGGCTGCACAGGCCAGACACCTGGAAGTCACCTGGGTCTCTCTTTTTGCCTTGCTCCCAAACATATCCAATCCAAAGCCAGGTTTGTCCATTCTGGCTCTAAATAATTCTGGCTCCATCTACTTCCCCACATCCCTCATTATCACTACCCAAGTTCCAGCTACGATCACATCACCACATGGCCTCCGTTTGGTTTCTCCCCTGTTAGTCTTGTACTGGACACAGCACAATACAGCTTTTTTTTTTTTTTAAACTTTTTCAGAGGCTTTTGCCTTTAGGGTGCATGTGTTCACAGGAGGGACAGACAGACAGACAGTGATAGAGAAAGTGAGAAATCACGCCCCAGGGGGAATGGCCACACTGCAAGCTCTTCTTCTCCATTCTCCTCCTGGGATTTTGGCTGCACACGCAGCCCCGTGTGATTTTCAAGCCTACAGGGTCTGGAACTCGAACCCCTGTTGATGACTACGTGGAGTTCAGCGATGTAACCACTCCGCCATCTGCTGGTCCCAGTACAGTGACAGCTCTAAAACATGTCAGACCATTTCACCCTTTTGCTTAAAATCTGTCAGTGGCTTCGGGATAACTTTGTCTTCCGTAAGTGTTCAGATTCTTTAGCTTTTCCCTAAAGCCCTTATGCTCTAGTCACTAAGCCCTTCCAAATTTCCACTGTTCCTTACTAGTTCTCTTGTCCTAATTTCGATCCCTGTCAAACTGCTCTGGTTCTCCGGGTCTCAGTTGAGAAGCAATGCAACCTTCTTGGGAGAGTTCACTGAGTGCCCTCTCCCCACGGGTTGGTTACCACGAACGTGTGTTTCCATATACTTCTCACATTTTTGCAATTAACTCAGTTTTGTTCATTGCCGGTTTCCTTTACTCTCTCTAGACAGTATCAACATAAACGTGTTCATTCCTGTATTAAATTAACTGTGGCACTGTGACACAGTTACACACAAACGCAGGTACGTCAAAAAGTTTGGAAAACAAAATCAAAGTACGAATTCATTTTGGTACAAAAAAAATCTTTGAAATCCATAGTTTTTTCATACTACGCATTTTCTATGAGCTTTTTGAAGACGTCCTCCTACCTACACGATGCACGCCCGGACCTGACCCTGAGGACAAGAAACTGCATCCTTTCTTCATGGGAACTCCGAGGCGTCTAACAGCCCTGGGTTCCAAACGTTCGTTGAGAGAATAAACCGGCCAAGGAATGAATGAGGAATGAACGCCAGTGAGAGGCGGTGCGCCGCGCAGCCTTCTGGGAATCGTAGTCCCTTGGTTCAGACGCCCTTTATGGCGCAGGCGTATTCGGGCTGTGGCCGCAGTGGTGTCAAAGCGCATGTCCCTGGCGGCGTGAGGCAACTGCGCATGTCTGAGGGTGGGGATGAGGCTGACCAGGTGACACTCTACGGGGGCGGGGCTTCGGCGACTCCTGGAGGTTGCCAGTGAGCTCTGCTGTCTGCGGGGATGGCGGGGAGGGGTAAGCTAATCGCGGTGATCGGAGACGAGGACACGGTGACTGGCTTCCTGCTGGGCGGCATAGGGGAGCTTAACAAGAACCGCCATCCCAATTTCCTGGTGGTGGAGAAGGATACAACCATCAATGAAATCGAAGACACTTTCCGGTACGGTAGCCTGCGAGGACCGATGGGTCCTTCTGTTGCCCCAGTGAGAGCGCGGGGAGAGGCTGGAGGTGGCCCGGGTACCGCGATGTCATACCCCCGTCTGGGAAACGAAGGGCGATTCTGGAAGTGCGTCGTCCCTTCCGGAGCAGAGGCCTCCGCCCCCCGCGTTCCTTTTTGGGGCTCGATGGGACCCGGACTGCGTCAGGTCCGCCAGCTCCCCACTCTCCTGATCTTGCTCGTGACTGCGCCGCCCCTCGGCCCAGCCGGCCCCTGCTAGAGCTGGACGCCCCGGGAGGCCACCAGTCGAGGGTCCTATGTTCACTCCTAGTGTGGGCGCTTGGGTGCAGGCATGCCTTTAATCCAGGAAGAGTCCTGGTGACTAGAATCAGGAATGCCACCCTCCTTGTTTTTCCCTTACCCCTTCTCTAGGGCCCCTGTCCCAAGGGTCAGAAATAAGCCACTCACTTCTGTTTCCGCCTAAGCAGACCAGCCCAGGCTGCCGGCTGAGACCGGTTCCTCCTGCCCTGGACGTGATAGGCCCTGACCTGGGAGGCTGCCCTTTGCTGATCTCTAAGCAGTCTGAAATGACCCAAGTTGTTTTGAGAGGACGAATTTTACTTGGAGAATTTTCTGTTTCCAACCAAAAGGGACCTCAGAGATGTTCAGGGCTAACCTACCTGCCGGGCACAAGCTAGGTGCTCAGTAAATGGTTGTCAGTGAGTATAGGTGAAAGGGTGAATGGACGCTGGAAAGGAAGGAAGCTTGCAGTGCTAGCTGCTGTGTGGAAAGTGTGATTCCTGAGTTTCCTCTTCCCGTCTTGTGTTCCTGGCTCATGCCAAACTTCCCCTCTGACATATCCCCTGCCTTCCCCAACATGGACCTATGGCCATCAGTGGTCTCATTAGCCCTATTTTTTTTTTGGGGGGCTTACTATAGGCCACATGTGCTCCATAAGGAGAGAGACAGAGATAGAGAAAGTGAGAAATCCCCACTCTTGGGGGAAGATGGCCACTCCACAGTTCCTTCTCGGGACTTGGGGCATACATACACACATGCCTAGCATGTTTTTCAGGCTGCTGCCTCTGAGACTCAAAACTGCAGTTGGCCACATGGGATCCAGCTGCTTTAACTATGAGGCCACTGACTGGTCTCTTCAGGCCTATTTTTTTTTTTAAACTGTAATGTGGAACCAGCAGGTGGCATGGTGGTTAAGGAGCTGGACTCCCACATGGCTGACTATGGTTCTAATCTTGGACCCTATGGCTTGAAAATCACATCGTGTGTGTGTGTGTGTGTGTGTGTGTGTGTGTGTTCATGCCCAAAATCCCAAGAAGGACTGCAGCATGGCCATCCCCTCTGGGGCACAATTTCTCACTTTCCCTCTCCCTGTCTCGTTTCTGAGAATGCACACACAAAAGCAAACATGATCATTGTTTATTTTTCTTGAAAAGTTAATCTGTCCATGTGATTTAGAAATCAATATTTAAGATACAGTCCCACCTCATTATCTCCCTCCTCCACCCCTATAGATAACCACTTAGCTTCTTTCTTATCTTTCTGGTATTTATGCAAATACAAAAACATTCACGTAGATGAGGGGACTTGAAAAAGTTCATGGAAAAATGAATTTAAAGTATGAATTTCTTTGGTGCAGAACAGTTTTAGAATCCACGTGTGTTTTTTTCATAACATGCATTTCCCATGAACTTAGTGAAGACCTTCATATATTCTCATCCTCCCCCATTTCTCACACCAAAGCAGCTCGCTGAGTACACTGGCATGCACCCTGGTGGTCATTTCCAGCCCACATGGAAGCCGTCCAGGCAGGGTGGGTAGAAGCCAGCCCTGACCAGCATGCATGAAATCGATTCTGGGCAGGATTGAAGGAGGGTTTAGTGTAGCAGCCTTTCTCCTTGTCCTCCGTGCTCTCTGGGTCATGCTCATTCCCCTCTGTGGCCCAGCCCCAGCAACTCGTAGTGGGCTAGACAGCAGCCCCCAGAGCTGCCCGACTCCCTTCTCATCTCTTCTACAGGCAATTTCTAAACCGAGACGACATCGGCATCATCCTGATCAACCAGTACATCGCGGAGATGGTGCGGCACGCCCTGGACGCCCACCAACGCTCCATTCCGGCTGTCCTGGAGATCCCGTCCAAGGAGCACCCCTATGACGCCGCCAAGGACTCCATCCTGCGCAGGGCCAGGGGCATGTTCACTGCCGAAGACCTGCGCTAAGGGACTCCCCAGGCTCTTCAGCCCCTCCCTGGTTTCCAGGCCTGTCCCTGGACTGGCCTTCAGCTCTACTTTTAAGTTTTAAGCCTCTGGTTTTCAATCCCCTGCTCCTTCCCACTTCAGGGAGAGGC